ATCGTTCACGAGGGACAAAGGCAATTTCTTGCCGGAACGAGAAGATTTTTTGCCGAGTAGCACGCTCCGTGAAAATAGCGAAAACGGTTACGCTTCCTTTTTCTTTTTTTTTTTTTTTTTTTGCAATCCTCCTCATCGACCAGGAATCGAGAGATTTTGTAAACAAAATTTCGCGATACAGAAAAGGATATATTATTTATCCGGATCGATCCGTGGAGTCGTTGCACCGCTCGGCAAAACCAGTTCGTTCTTCTCTTTGTTGTCTAACGCACAAAGGGTGTCGGGGTCTCGTGACGAGAGCAAAGAGTGTACCTTCCACTGTCAATCGTAACGGAGTCTTTGAATTTTTTTACGATTCTTTTTTTGAATGTATCAATATTTATCTCGTGATTATTATTAAAAATTTGATGATTACTTGTAAAGAAACAGCGAAGAGAAGTGAAAAGAAGTGTTTGTAAAGATTTTATTTGACAGTCGTTAAAGAAAATATCCCTTCGAGACTTTTTTAAACTAAGATTTTAGGGGAATTAAACTTGGAATATGGAATTAACATAAATTGGTAAAAAAAATCATCGAGATATCTTTTCGTAAATATTTGCCAAAAATTTAACACACTCTCAAAGATCGTTCATAATAGATTATAAATGAAATTGTTAAAATATAAAAACATCATTCTCATGAAAAATTTCTGATAATTTCATATTCGATGTTGCAGAGGAAAAACTATATTTCGTCTTTTTCGTCCACTCAATAATTTCTCAATCGTCGTTTCGATCGTCGGACAGCATTATCGTCCAAGTGTTACACGATCGTAAAACCGGCGCAGAGAGCACGTTTCCTTTTTCTTCCCGATTTTATTAACCGCCCCGTCACTGCCTCGTGATTAAAAATCTTTTTTAGTTTTCTACCTGTTAATAACTCGTAAATATCGAGTAATTAAATCGAAGATATACACCATCGAGTCTCTTCTCCGCTTTCCTCTCTCCCTTCCCAAAGATCGTATCTTTATTGTTCACTCGTATCGTTTCGAATTTGCATCGGAACATCCAAAGTTCGATATTTTTTTATTACTTTCCCTTCCTTTCCCCGACAAATTACTTTGAAACGAAACGGAAATGGATATCGTGGAAACGGACGCGATTAATAATTTTTATCCTGTTCGAAATATCGTTTTAAGAGCGAGGAAAATTTTCGTTTTTGATCGGTGGATCAATTTATTTGAGGAGATCGTGAGCGATAATTTAACTTTAAACTTGCGTTTGAAACGAGTTTATGGAAAATGGAATACACGAAGAAATTTTTAAGAAAAATTATCTCACGAGGGTGGTTAAGTGATGAATAATGAAAATCGTTCTCGAAGAAAATCGCGATATTTTTTTAATAATATAAATAATTTATCTATAATTTTAAATTAAAATCTTTAATTATTTATTGTTTAAATATAAATTAAAAATTACCAAAATACTAAATAAATACTAACCAAATATTTTTTAATATATATTATTCATATGAAATATTAAGAAATAAAAATTATTAGTATAAATTTTTTTTTTTTAAAAACAATATCGTTTAATTATCATTTGAACGAGGAGAATAATTATTTTACATTTTACATTTCTCTGATGATCTATTCACGAATTAATCGAATTATTTTCTCAATTAATTTAATTCTCGAGTTACTCGATCGATTTGGAAAAAATGATCTCGTTTGGAAGAAATATATTTTTATATTTTTAAGAAATAACGTATCACACGAAATTACATCGATTATAATTATTTTGTCAATTAATTTAATTCTCGAATTATTCGATCGATTTAATCTCGTTTGGAAAAAATTAAATTAAAAATATATCTTTTCGGGGAAATATTTCTTACGATCGTAAGAAGCAGAGGAATTAATTTAGATTCGATCGAACTCAAATATTAGAAGTGTGACGCAAAGGCAACGGTGAATTATGTTAGGAAGTACATAACGTCGTGATTCACAATAGACAACGGGAACTAGACTCGTGCGAGTCGGTTTTATCGATCGACGTGATACGAACCGCAAAATCGTACATACCTTCTACTAAACACAATATCCTCGCACGTTAGTTATAGAATTAACGGATATTTACATTTTACATTTCTCCGACGTGCCATCTACCAACGAATCGACCCAATTATTTATTTTGTTAATTAATTTAATTCGAATTAATCGTGATCGATTTAATCTCGTTTGGAAAAAATTAAATCAGAAATATATTTTTAAGAAATAATGTATCACGATTGTGCAAAATAATATTCTTCGTTTATATCAATTAATTTAATTAAATTTAATTAAACGATTAAAATTAATACGTAGATTTGTAACGTTTTGAAAATATGTAATTGAAAAAAAGCAATTATAATTTATTATTCAAGAGATCAATCAAAATTTTGATAAGACCTTCTTAGCTCGAAATTCTTCTTTAGAATTTTCGTCTTTGGCGGTAAATGTAACTTCTTGACACGCATACCAGTTTGGATTAAAAGTTTCGCTCGATTCGTCAATGTTTCTACTCGAAAACTTTCGTTAATTTTCCTCTGCTTTCATTTAATTTATATTAGAAAATAAATAATTCAATAAAAAGACTTTAAGTTTTTCATCTTAGAGTAAATAATCCAATCCTTTTCAGTTCATCTACTTAAAATCAACTTTTCTCTTAGCTTAATTTAATCTACATCGTAAAATAAATTACTCCTTCGAAATTTTTAAATATAATCTAAATTCAAGTTTCTGTAACTATTCTTCAACACAAAGATTTTAAAATCTTAAATTTTTCATCTCAGAGTTAATTATTCCAACTTTTAAAGCAACGTTCAGTTCTACTTGAAATCATCAATATTTCTTTTAAGTTTCTTTTAATTTACATCATAAAGTAAGTTTTTAAATACAATTTAAATTCAACGTCTACTCTCAACAACTACTCTTCGTTCTATTTCCTCAACAGGTCAAAGACTTTAGGACTTAAATTTCTCATCTCACAGTTATAACATTCCAACCTTATCCTTCTAAAACAACGCTTTAGTTCTACTTGAAATCGTCAACATTTGACGAATTACTTCTTCGAAATTTTTAAATTCCATTCCTCCTTAAACACAAAAGACTTTACAATCAACGTACGCTCGATTCGAACTCTAAACTTCCCATGCAATATTATTTTCCCTTCCGTCGCGCGGTTCATCGTCTCGTGTACAGTTTAAACGCGACACATCCATCCACGTCCACCACTCCAGCCCATCTTAGAGAAGCGATCTAGGCGCGCGCCTAGATTTGAGAACACCTGCGACGCCAACGGATCGATATTCTCCATAGCGAGTAAGTAAGTACGTGGGTATCCGCGTTTGCATCGACGAGGGAGCGTGTCGGTTTACGCAACGAAATTGAAGCGAAGGGCAAAGGTGACGGCGCAGAAAGAGTGGCCGGGCCGCCCCCCTCCACCTCCCACCTCCTTCTCCCATTTCTTCTCCTCCTCCTTCTTCTCCAGTCTACGGAGAGAAACGAAATTGCGGCGACGTGTGCCACGATTAAATGTTACCGTGTCGGTGGAAGGCCTTCTTCCATTCGAAGAAGATCGTATCGAACGGCTTGGGGAGTGTTCTTATATACTTCGATCGATGCAATTTCGAGAAGAGGCGAAGATGATCCGAGACGTTTTCTCGAATGAAACTTCGCCTCGCAATATTATCTATACGAAGAGAGACAGCTCGAAGATAGGGATAAGATGAATTCTGGAAAGGATAAGTCGGTAGAAGAGCGACTGTCTTTTCAACATTTTAAGTCGAGAATTTTTATGAAATTTTACGAGGTAGGGAGAGAGGCATAATGAACGTTGAAGGGGAATTGTTTGGAAGTGTAAATAAAAGTGCTTGGGTTTAGGGTGTTTGAGACGCACGAGAAGATTCAGGGGATCGAAGATACGTGATTGGAAAATTCAACTCTCCTTTTTTCGTGCCTCGAAAACGAAATTTTTCTCGACGAGGGGGGGGAAGAGAGGCGACGAGCAACTCTACCGAAGCTCGCCATTTTTACCACGAGTGTCGAATGTTAGTCGAAGATAATTTTTTATAATTTATTCATCCTTTGAGATTTCAAAGATTTTTTTTAAATCCGTAAGGAAAAATTATTCAAGAATTTATATATATAATATTTTTTGACGAGAAATTTTTTTTCACGATTTTTTCTTTTTACGAACAAGAATCCCCCCTCGGAACCTAAAACTCCTCGAGCAGTGGAAAATGCCTCCTCCTCGAAGCCTGACTCAGATCTAATCTGTAAGTCTAATGCACTTTGGCGCAACGCTGACAGATTCGCTCAAAGTATTTCTCTCGATAAAGATCTGTGCGACGAGATAGAATGCCGAGGATCTTCTTCATCGAACGAGGCGAGGCTCGAGAATTAAATGCAGCATCCACTCCATGTAATGTAATTATATCCCGAAATATTTCGTCGATTAACGCCATTTCCATCCATCGGGTAAGAATTCCTCGCGGATGAATGAAATTGTTCGAGACTCGCATAGTTATTCCATTACTCTTCACTCGAGACGTATGTTTTTTTAATTTCGTGTGTTTTTAATTTCCTCCTTGCATAGTTGTACAATCATGTATTGATAGAAAAAAAAAGTAAAATGAAATTACGTGTCTTACCGTATATTCACAAAAAAAAATTTCTTTTATATTCGATACCATAATCGATAAATGTTCGAAACACGAACGAATAAATTTTCCCTTCGAATAAGAATTTGTCGACAAGTATATATGAATGATATATGTAACATATAACGATTGAAAAGAGGGGGGGAAAAGTTTCGAAGGAAAAAGAAAAAAAAAATATCATTGTTCACCGACCCTTCGATGGAAAGCAAAAAATATGGGGGGAAAGCTACCTCCACTACTTTGTTATCAGAGAATCGAAAATCACAATGAATGGAAATTACAGGGGCGTAAAAGGGTGGAAACGACGGTCTACTTACGACGATTCTGTTGGGGGTGACGTCCAAGGGTCGTGCTCCGAGGACAGGGGTGGCGGGCGCGCTACCCCTTCGACAGGCCTTCTCGTAGGACGTGTCTGGAACAGAGAGAAGAACATTTGCGATTTAGCGAATGGGGTAATTTTGCCATTTCCGGCCCTGGCTGACGACCAAAACGGTCGCCACTCTTAATTATCGTATCTCGTATTTCGTATTCGAGGCGGATGGAGGAAACTGGATGGGAAAATCTTATTGGCCGAATAATCGCATCTTGCGAACTCGATTCTGCCTCACCGTTAATCGTAAACCCTCGTATTTAAGCATTCGAACAATTAAGGCATTAAAAGAAGGTAATTTCATCCCATTTCCTTTTCCTTTATATATATAATTTATCCCCTTCATTTGAAGAGAAAATTTGAAGAAGAAATTGACAAATCGTGCGCTTTATTTTCTTTTTACACTGCAATCTCGTAATATTAACATTTTATAGGCTTATTTCAGTTAGTCGCGTTTAATGAATCGATTTAATGTACCATCGAATATTATCGATTTGAAGGGAACAGGTTTAATCCTGCGAATAAAAGATTAATCAATTACCACGGAAATTTATTTGCCATATTTTTATAGAAATTCAGAGAGAAATGTTTGATATTTCCACTTAAGATTTTTCATCAAATTATTCACGGTAAATTTTTACTTTATATCCTTTACTCACGCTTCCACCGTTGCGTGTTCCTTTTAAATGTAATAAAAAATTTTTAGAGATTAGAAACGCGATCAAAAATTCTCCTCTCGAGAATTCCATCTCCAATACGGCGAATACCATCGCCTGAACTGATTTAAAATCAAGAAAGGAGACAGTTGTTTCCCAGAAACAATCCCATGATTCTGCGCGACGCATTTAACGCACCACCTGCGAGCGATCCCCAGGTATCCGGAAGCGGGCGGACGTGCCTCGAAACGCAGACGAGAACGCGAAGATTGGGTGGCCGCGGTTAAACGAGGAGAGGGAGGGGACTTCCGTTTCGGTTGTTCGCATGCTTGGAACTCGGTCACGGCATAGTTGGAGCAATGCTCCGTAATTTCGAGAACCGGCAACGGGCCATTCAGCCCCCCCTCTCTCTCCCCCCTCTCTTCACAATGGCAGCGTTCCATCGAAAACGCGACGAAGGGGGGAGAGGGGAGTCGACTAGGAATTCGTTGGAAATATCGATCGAGCGATATATACCTGTCGTCATAAAATTTTTTTCCTTCGCAATAAAGATAAGAATATGATCGTCAGCGACTCGAAAGGCAATTTTGAAGGACACGATGGTGTATAACGCGTGGAGAAAAGAAAAATTTGTTGTTCGAAATTTTTACAAGAGTACATCGACGAGCTCTTTGAGCTAATAAATAATTTGATCACACGTCGATGACATCAGAATAGTTTTAATAGTATTGTGCATTTACATGTGATGGATTAGTTGGTTGGATAAGTTGCTTCAAATAATTTATCGTTCAAAACAATAATAATAATAATTGGAAATAATCGTAACGAGAGGTTATATGAGAAGCGGATCGACTATAATAGTTATGAATAAATGTCATTCGAAGATTTTAATAAGTAATTATTTAAAGTATTACTTTATTCGAAGTTTTTGACTAGCTCTTTCCGACTTTCGATTTTATTTATTCTCAAATTATCGTCTGATGGTAACAACATACATTATTCTCCTCGACATATGGCAAAAATTGTACATATATATATACATATATATCAGCTTTAGATGTCAAAGAGGATTAAATCATGGAGTAAAAAAGAAATGAATTCTCGTTTCGATCGTATTTATCATACAATCGAAACGAAACTTATTAAAACCAATACACATAATCGTAACCCCCGTTAAGAAATACGCGAAGTGATTAAAGTTCAAACGAAAATTGGGACCCCTGCAAGCTGATCGTTAAACCACGAGAAGCGTAAACGAATCTCGTCTCATGGGGGATGTACGAGAAAGGGCCCGTAACTCGAGACTCCTGTTATCCTCCCAGGAGGAAACGTTTAAAAGAAAAACCTATACCTCGCTATAAACAGAGAGAAGGATTATTCCTTGTGGCTCCCCTCCTCTGCATAACGCAAGGGGGCGTTAATTGCAGGGTTGTTTTCGTTTCTTGCTCGCCCTTCGGCTTTTCGATTTCCGTTGGTGGACGAGAGCCACTATCGTTCTTCGAGCTCGCGTCGAGAGTCGACGAGGAGGAGATTAAATGTGAAGGAGGCCGGCGAGGTTCGTACAATTGAGTATCGAGAAGAGAAAGAGAGAGAGAGAGAGAGAGGGAAAGAATGACTTTTAAATTAAATCGAGCGAAATGAAAAACTCGAGCGTGTTCGAAACTCGTTTAACGCATTGACACGTTATTGTTCGCTCCTCGTGGTTTTCGGCTGGTTGGACGCTTGTGTTTAACGAAGCGCGTGTTCACAGAGTTTGGGGAGTAGATCGATTCGGGGTCCCCCCCTCCTCTCCCGAATAAAGAGATTATTTCGAGCGTTTAAAACGAGGACGAGGAAACAAAGTAAAAGTGTGTCCATTATTTTCATACGCAATGGATGGATGTACAGAGAGAGAGCGTTACAAGATATTAATAATAACTGGCCAAGCCAAGAGGAAAGAATTATAAACAGGTTGAAAGAAGGTACGAAGTAAGACGTCCAATCGGGGGGCGAGGCATCGAGTGACGATACTGGTTTGGCCGGACAAAAGGTTATCGATACGAGAGGAAATCGGATCCGGTCGCCTTCGTCCGCTGTCAAAATACACGTAACGTAATATTGACAAGCTGTGCCTCACTTCAAAATACTCTGCGTGTAAACATATATATATATATAATATTAATTAAA